ATGAATTTATAAGCCATACAAATATTTAAAAACAAGCCTATTCTTGAAATTATAACATATAAATACTTGGAAAATGTTAACTTTTTTTTATAATCATGAATTGAAAATTAAAGTGTCAACATATTAACACATACTGTTCATTGACTGGGAAATCTATGCCCAGTAAAGGAACATGCCTGTTCCCTCACTGGTTAGAAGTTGTTTTTTGTATTTTTAACATACTTTTGATACGGAACATCACTAAAGGTACAAGAAATTTAAAGTTTATCTTTTATTTTCATTAACTTAGAAAAAAACCCAGTAAAGGAACACTTATTCTTTCACTGGTTTTTCATTGTTCGGTGATCCAGTGAATAAACACCCCCTTATCTCAGTACTTTATTATGCTATGATACTTAAAAAATTAAAACGTAACTTCCAAAACTATATTTTGAATTCTCTTTTTCACAGTGAGAAAAATAAAACTATTACATGCAATCAATTCCACTTCAAACATATTAATACAAACACTCACCTTATAATTTTTTCATAGAAACAAGGTGTTGCAGAGATAATAACAAATTCATAAATTTTTCCAGAGAAGTCTATTTAACCAGGTAATCCAAAACATTGCTAGATGACTTCCTATTGTTTGGCAGAAAGCTATTGTTACCAATCAATCCAAAGAAAAACTTTCAGATTCTTATAATTTGATTCAGATTCAATATATTTGAAATTTTCCTTCACTGGGTAGTGTACCTTCACTTGTTGGTTTACCCTATACATGTTCCAAAAACACTAGAAACTTTAAATGATATTGACTATGCCGTTTTTATTTCGAAAACTTATATGCTTCCCTTCCAACTAATGAAATTCTTGTGGACCTTGTTCAAATTTTTTGTTTACTTAATCTTAATGATATTATTGTTGAACAGAGCTGGAAAATTCTTGCTCATATTAACCAAAACAACAATTTTATTCATGATTGTTTTTTTGGCCAACTGAATTGGAAAAAAAATTTAATACTAATGTTAGCAATATTTTTCCATTTCTTCAAGAATATTGATTCGTTAAATCATTTGCTAAAATTCCTACAAATCCCTTCTTTCTCAGATTTCTTGATAATCTTTTGGTTATAAATTTTGACGATTTTGATATTTGGCAAAGCAAAATTATTCAAGTGAATTAATTCTTGACAAAACTAATATTTGAAAATTTTCAGCAAATTTTCTAGATTTAACTCTTAAAATTAATGAAGATAGGAAAATTGCATTTAAACTTTTTAACAAAAGAAATTATTTTAACTTTCTAATTAAAAAAGAGTATAGATTTTAATTCAAACTTAGCCAATAAGGTTTTTTTCCAATATTATTTTTCCCAATCAGATTCTTAGGTTTTATAGTAATAATTCCTGTTCCGTATTTGTAAGCTACACTCTTGGCGACGGAGCATCTCCACTTGGCACACTGTATATACGCCAACTTGGCAAGCTGTCTATGTTTGTACGCCATTACAGTCTACGCTCTACTCCCGAAAGGGAAACGCAAATAAACTCCTAATTTACAAAACGCTTTCTCTTTTTTTACGCCACCCCTCCGCACAATTCCAATTATAAAGAGTTTTTAAAAGAGACTGATAAATTTAAAGCAGATTTAAGTAATATGGTAATTATGGTATATATTTTATAATACGGTACGGTTATAATATGGTATATAATGTGGTTTATAATTTATAATATGGTATGGTTATAATATGGTATATAATTTAAGTAATATATATAATAACCATTTTTCTCATTTATTCCTTCAACTTCATTTTAAAAAGTTTTTGAACAATTTCGAAAACTAATTTTGTTTGATTCATGAATTAGCTCTGATTTAATTTTTTAGGTAGAAACTAATTATGATTTGCTACTCCTAAAGCCACTGGACAGAATAATTTGGATGTATGACGTTTCAGAGTGGATTAATCAATTTATTAAATAAACTTCTAAATTAGTTGTAGCCTTTGTAAAATAATTTTAATATTTTAATTTTCTAGTGTAACAAACAGTTTTTTTAATTAAATATGGAATGGACACAGTTTCACGAATAGCCACCCCCTATGAATGCTGGTAATAGACTTTACTGTTGCGAAAAACTTTACTGTTGTGAAAGACTTTAGTGTAGTGTAGATTTTACTATTGTGAAGGACTTTAGTGTAGTGTAGACTTTACTGTTGTGAAAGAATGTGTAAATGAAGGATAAAGTCTATAAACTGATTTCTATCCATGTATAAAGGCTTTGATGTATAAACAAGTCACCCTGTATTTGAGATCCTCAAGCCATTAAGACTGAGACGTGAAAATACAATCATTAGATCAAAAGTTATTAAGTTATTCAAGGTGGTCCATTTCATTATACAATCTACACATGAAAATATGGAGGAAAAAAAAAACTCTTGTATTTTCTAATCTATTCGATTTTCAAGCAAGTTTTAATTACAAAAGATGAAGTTAAAAACAATATTTATAAAATAGTTCAGATCTGTGTTCCCGTTCAGATTTTATAGCAAAAAATTGTGAAATGGCTTGAAAAAAAGTCGCGTTCTTTTCAAACTTTGGCGAGATTAAATTATTACTTAATTGAGCTGACACTGTCTAAATAATAGTTTTGCACCGAATTTTTAGGAGCTGCCGAGATGGATTCTATAAAAATTTTCGCCTTTTCAATAAAAACCACCCTAATATCAATACTACTTACTAGCGTTCAAAAGTCTTTGGTCTAACTCAACATTATGGATTGTTTATAAACTCCTGTTTGTGAAAATTGCAACACCATGAAGGAATCGTCATAATTGAATGAAATTTAATACACAGTTGAGTGGTAGTGGTACAAATAAATGATTAAACTTTCAAAGCAAACAAACAATAACAAGAGATCGAAATCAGTATTTTGTGTAACCACCACAGTCCGCAATAAGTGCTGCTACACGACATGGCATGGAGTCAAGCAAACTTTGAATGTCTGTCTGAGAAAGAGAATTCAATACTGTTTGTATGCGTACCCAAAGTTCGTCTGTAGAAGCAACAGGACGAGGATTACGAGCGAGACGCCGGCCAACGAAATCCCACACATGTTCAATCGGCGACATATCCGGGGAATACGCCGGCCAAGGAAGAAGTTGTACCAGTTGCGATGCAAGGAAGGATTGAACAGTCCCAGCAATATGAGGGCAGGCATTGTATTGTTAAAATACATCACCTGGCAAGGCTTGAAGGAAGGGAACAGCTTGGGGCTGTAGAACTTCACTGATGTACTGGTTGCTGTTCAGATTACCCACAATTCGTAGCAATTGAGATCGTCCATGATATGCTATGAGACCGCAGACCATAACGCCGGGTGTTCGTCCACTGTGGCGTTCGATAACGCACTCCAGAAGATGGCGTTCACCGGCATAGCGTCTGACACAAATGCGGCCATCATGGTACCACAAATTGAAGCGAGATTGGTCAGAAAACACGACACGCTGCCAATCAGCAAGCCAGTTCCTATGCTGGTTGGCCCTTTGCAGCCACAGGCGGCGAAGGTTTAGCGTGAGGGGGATCCTGTATAAAGGAGTCCTTGCACGCAGTCCACGCTGCCGCAGGCGTCTACGAATTGATATAGTACACAATGAGGCACCTGTAGCTATTGACCACCGTGCTGCCAGTTGTCTAGAGGGAGCCGTACGGTCCGTTAGCGCAACGCCGAACAGGTGTCTATCCTCGCAAGCTGACGTGACATTTCAGGGTCCACTCCCGGATTTCCGAGTTGTCCGACACTCGTCCATCCACTGCTTTCAAACACGCATCACTGTGCTGCTGTTACGCTGCACACGAGCGGCTACTGCACGATAACATAATCCAGCTTCACGAAGGCCGATGATTCTCCCCCGTTTAAACTCCGTAAGTTGTTGAAATCTCGCTCTCTTTCGTCGAATAGGCATAAGTAATGACTAAGCTAACATTTACCACTAGCAGATAACCATACTCGCTTGGCTACAGTCGTCTATTTATTGGAATCCATCCGCCGTTCAGAGGGCGCTGCTCAACATACGCATGCGCTACGGGTCTGAAATTCTAATCATTTGCATATCATGCTCTACTTTACATTTCCTGAAAATTTCTGCTCACTCGCGTAAGTCCTTCATGGTGTTGCAATTTTCACAAACATGAGTTTACAAAATGTAATATAATATTGTATGATTTCAATCGACTTAATCAGTTTTTGAACTTGCTGAATATGCTTATCAGCAAAAAAGTGCGCTAGGTTCCTTTAAAACCACTTTAAATCAAACGCAATTTCAATATCAGTCAGAGATTAAATACTTAGAGTTCTTCATGTTTAGAGATTTTCGTAAGTACTGGATGAATTTCTTTGCTTATAATAATGATATAGAGTTAAAATACAATTTTAACTAAGTATAGGTTTAGCATGTTTAATTTCTTAATGCTTATTGTAGTTTTATATGTATATTAATATTTAGTTTTATATGTATGTAAATTTCCTTTTGAAGAATTTGTTCTCACATGTCCCGAATTACTAAAAAGAAAGCTGCTTGCAAATATATATATATATATTTATAATAAGAATACAAATTCCTAAATCATGGGTACTGGGTTTTAATTTTTTATTTTATAACCGTCGTTGAACAGCATACCCAATTTTTTTGGGTTTACGACTGCTAATGTTAAACTCAGTAGCCTTGTAATTTTGAACCCGAACTAGAAGACAAGGAACTCCTGGATCACGCTTTGGGAGAAAATTGCCTTCGTGGAGGTGGAACTAATCCGCATTGGTGTTAAACCAACGCCTCCTATAACTGAAAGCCTCCACACGGTTTTTTATAAGTAGTCCGATCAGACCACTGCGTAGGATATCCACTTTCCGAACGAGTCACATAATACAAAATATAGCTAAAATAAGAAAGTGGTAGCAAATATATGACTAAAAATTCGTTTTATTTATGAATATTATTGGTTTGTCTTATTCACTTGTCAACCACTATAGATTCAATTCTCAAATATATATGGTGAATTTCTCTCAATTTCTTTTATAAAAGGTTTTGGGTTCATGCGTACAACTGGTTCACTTTTTAAATAGTCTGCGCCGACTACTTATAAAAATCCGTGTGGAGGCTTTCTGATGTAGGAGGTGATGGTTAAATGGTGAGGAAAATCACGAAAACCTCATACGGTTAGCTTGATGGAAAGAGACTCCTACGCCATGATTCGTCTAACATTGATGATATTGTGAGTCAGCACTATGGTCGGTACGAGCCGGGAGTGGAATTCGTATCGACCAGTCATCGCTGGGATTCGATCCCGGCTCGCCTCATTGGAAGGGTAACACTCTATCCCCTGAGCCACCACATCTCTTATATATTGGGGTTGGACAAAATTTTGGAAACACTTCTAAACTTACACTATTGATACAATATTTCGGTTGACAACTAATATTTTGGAAGATTTTACACGGCAAAATTGTTGGCACAATTTGAAAGATCATGGTTAAAGATTTTATAATGGCATTTTTGTTCATTCATAATTCGAATTGACCAAAATCAGGAGAGGAAGTTATAAAATTTTTTCTAATTTTAAAACCAGTAATTTGGTAAATTATTTTATAATATTGCAATGCTCTTATAGGAACGCATGTTAATTATAGTGAAATTGAAAAGGAAAAAAAAAAGGTTTTGTTTTCTCAATTTGACTTTAGTCTATGTAAATTTTGCAAGAGTCAAAATTGCATCATTTCTAAAAGCTTTATGAATGAACTTACAAATTGAGCAAAGAGTATTGCCGTGTAAAAGTTTCTAGAACATTTGTAATTAAAAGAAAGATTGTTTACCTATACGTATTTCGAAAACTCCTCCACGAAGGCAAATAACTTCCAATACTTGATCCAGAAGTTCCTTTGTCTTCTGGGTGGCTTCAAAATTACAAGGCTCCGGAGTTGAATGCTGGTAGTCGCAAACCAAAAATTGGGTTGGTTGTTTGAATACGATTATTAAATAAAATCGTTTGCTGAAATAATTTTGAATATTTCAAAGTCGCCTATCAAGTCATTAAGCCATATTATATGTAAAAATCCGAATATTATTTAAAATTCAATTGAAAAGTTGTTTTAGCGTTCTGTTTTTTATTTTGTACACTATTTAGAGAAAAAAATGAGATAGTTAATCAAATCCTGAGAAACTATGGTTTATGCACGTTCTTTATCGTTTGGGTAACTTAAAGGCAAAAAAAAAATAAACCATGAGCAGTTTTATAGAAAACTGTGAGTTAGGACAGGCTAATGCTTTTTTTTTACTTTGCATGTATTTCGGTGTAATTATGGAAATATTTAAGAGAATCTATCTTGATTAAAAAATCGTAATAGCCGTTACCGGCGCTGTTTTAGGTGTTCCTTTAGCGTTGCAATTTTTTTTCTGCTCAAAATTTATAAGGCTTAAAAATTTGAAATTACTAATGGGCATAGAAAAGTTCGCAGGAATTAAGATGGAATAAAAAATGAACATTCGCTAATTAATTCAAGACTTATTAACTGTTAAACTTGTTTGAAAAAATACCATACGGGCTGCTCCGCAGATGGTAGGAACGTGACTACAGTGTTTAAATTCTACACGTTGTAGTTTACACTACTTCTACAGTGTTTAAATTTACCACGTTGAAAGGGCCATATTTGTTTATGAACTAATTTTTTTATTTCTGAAATTCTAATTTGTTCGAAAGTTATTGCAATTTTAACTGCTTTTTTGTGAATATGCTTCAATTATTTTTGTATTATGTTACATTTTACTTAGATGCTCAACATCTATAAGATTTAGGAACTTGTAATAATGAAGTGTGTAGAATACTGTACAAGGAGTTTGTTGGAATAAAAAGAAATACTATTCGATTATTAGTTTGAGTTACTTTTAAACTTGTATTATAAAAAAAAAAACATGTTGAGCGATCTAATGTTCGCTGAAATGCAACTACAAACTTGAAATTTAACATATTGATAGGACCATTTTAAATACTTATTTGTTAATGATCTTAACACATAGTGTTCTTTTTTTTGGAATTCTAAGTTGTTCGAAATTTATTGCAATATTAAGTGCTTTTTTTGTATTTTCTCAATTTCTTGATGCTCGAAATCTACACTGTTATAATTTTCATTCTAAAATTGTGGTAAAATAACAGGAAGCAGTCTGTCCATACAATTAAACGTAAAGTTAACGGTAAACAACATTTGTAAACTCAACGGTTTTCAAACCGTTTACAACAAGTATGGTTAAAAAACCATAAATACGAAACTATACAGTTTTTAAACCATTTACAATTAGCATGGTTTCAAAACGGTAAAAACAGAATTTTTAATGGACATAGGAGATTGTTTAGCAGCTTAATGGAGCTGCCATCTTTGCGTATCGTATTCTAACAGCCCAGGGACACAAATTGCGGAGTGCAAGCCACTTGAAACTTTTCACGTGGAGGAAATATTGTGATGCCAACGCTGGGATTCGTACACCCGATCTGTCTCTCACGAGATTGACAGCTTAGCCATCTCGGCTATAATATGTACCCCTTTACAAGTAACTAAGTGACTTCATTAGGTGAGTCACGCTGGTGCGATAAAATTCTTGTTGTTTAACCGTATTAGGTGAAAACAGTTAATAAACGATTTTTCTCTCAGTTAACAGTTTGAATACCATATATTTAAGATTCTTTGAATGCTTTATTCGAATATGGAAAAATAACAATTAAAGACATTGTTATTTAACCATTTTTTCTGAGAAATTTCTAACAGTGTATAAGATTTAGAAACTCGTAATTACGAAGGTGAGTAGAAAAAATGTACAAAGTGTTCGTTCGCATATAAAAAAATCGGTTCGATTATAAGCTCAAGACTTATTAACTTTTTAACTTGTAGTTTTAAAAAACACATGTGGGTTGCTTTGAATTAATTGATCAAGAAGCAATTCTTGGAGCAATTGGAGGTTGATGACAAATGTTGATAAGTGAATTCTACTGTCAACTATCATTTTCTTCACGTTTGGAAAATGCACAAGAGATTTCATTTTCAAATGTGATATCACATTTTAAATTCATCTTAAAAAAAAAAGCATCTGAATAACTTTTGATTTAATGATCGGATCTTCACGTCCTGGGAGTCAATCTTAGTGGCATGAGGGGGTGACCTCAAATATGCTAATTAATTAGTGCAGACATAACTTTAAGTTGTGAATTCAGGCACAAAAAGTACTTTCTCTGAATAAACATACTTTTCTTTCGGTGGATTCGGATTTTAGACCACCTGATTATAAAGGGATTGTCACATTCTAAGAATTTGATTCCAGGAATTAAAAGACATTATTTTATGTGTATTTTGCCATATTTCGAGAACTTTTTAAGCGAATTGAAAATTTTTTGCACACAATTATAAAAGTCGTTTATCCAAAGATAATTCCATTAAAAAAATAGTTTTTTGTAAATAGTTATTATTTTATTTAATGGTGGTTGAAAATTTTTTTTAAATGAAAGGTATGCATTTTTTTATATCCTCTTAAGTAATGTAATTTTATGTGGCAAAAAATAAAGTTTGAGAGAAATCGGTTGAAAAGTTCTTGAGAAATCGAATTTGAAAAAAAGTCTATAATAAAGCGTGAGTGTTTCTCTCTTATAATTCAGAACTGTTTATGCTTAAGTCCTGAAATTCAAACAACGGGTGTAAGGGGCAAGTTCAGGCCCTCATTCTAAAGCTCTTGCTAAAATTTCAATTAATGCATTCGGAAGAGACACCCGAAAATGAATTTTGCTCATTGTTTTACGTAGTTTTTCTCATAGTTTTTTACGTTACACATTGTTAAAAACGATTCTGTTATCTTTTTTTCAATTATTTAGAAGATGATGTTTGCAAGCTTACAGCTCTCATGAATCAAATCTAAGTTATATTGGGATATATGTACGTTATTTATCGTTATTCGTTATGTCAAATAAGCTGAAGTAAAAAAAAATCAAAAATATGGCACGTAAATACGCATTTGAAAGAGAAATAATTCTAAAGCCCTCTTAAATCACGTGCTTATTCACACTTTTAAAACATGTTTTTATAATCCTACAAAAAATGTTAAATGACAATGTTAAATGTAAGGGAAACAAGAAGTAATGTTTTAACGAGAAATTCATCTGAAAATCACTTGACTGTTATAGATTTTAACTATTATGAGTAATAATAAAACACAGAAAAATAGAACGAGCAATATTAAATAAAGCGCAAAATTATTTGATTTTTCAATAGTGCCATTATTTACTTTTTAATTGATTGTTGATTAATATCAATTGATTGATTACACTGGAAAAGGATTTTGT